AGGAGGAGGAGGAGGAGGAGGAGGAGGAGGAGGAGGAGAAGGAGAAAGAGAAGAAGAAGAGCAGTTTATCGTTACCGGCTTGAACCTTCTTTGAACCCAATAAAGTCACTGGATTGAATTTCACATTCCACCAGTCATGAAAATTGGAAATGACAATGACTGATTCAAATCTCAGCCATGAGACCTTTTGTGTACTCGTAGCACTCACTTTTAATATGTCAAACACATCTGACCATCACCACCTTTAGGGCTAGATTCAACAACCACTGATACTCTATACAAAAACATTCCTGCGTTCCAGTCGGCCAACATTTTAACAGCCCCGGCCAAAATGGAACCACTGAAATGCAGCGGGAGTACTCGTGATCTAGAGGTTACAGTGTTCGCCTCTCATTCAATAGGTCTTGGGTTCGAAACCTGACAGATACGGAAAATGTTTTTCTCTAAAATATTCTCTTTTCCACTCCTTTCCTGCTCTCTTACAATGCTCTGTCGTCTGATTTAGTCTCCACTTCCTGCCCCCACCCCCACCGACCCCCTTTTCCCTTTTGCACCCTCCTCTGGGCTCCCGACTCTTTCTGCAACCTTTGTACTGCTACTCCGTGGCTCCATCTTATGCTGTCTTTCAGCCACACCCTGATCTTAAGGTAGGTAAGACCTAACATCTAGCTTTCTCGGGTCAGTGTCAAAAATCTCGGAGGTCCTGTGTGCAAATTGCGTTAAAAATTCCTTGGTGGGCCAAAATTGATAAGAGTAGGCTTCGGCCGCGACCCGTGCAACATTCAAAATTAATTCCTACCAAATTGATTATGCTTAATGTGCCCTGCAAGCTCATATGACCTTATTAATATGCAGTTACTAGCGCCATAAAACACTTACCAAGACAGATATGATAATATGCAGCTTCAAGGTCTCGAGATAGTAAAAAACCCATTTGGATGTGAAACTTGGGCTCACATCAAACCCTTTCCGGCCTTAATATTGATGAGCCATTTCAAGGAACTTAAGTTTACTACTTAATCACTTAAACCGGCCCCCACGTTTCTCTCTCCCTCTCTCTTTCTCTTTCTCTCTCTCTCTCTCTCTCTCTCTCTCTCTCTCTCTCACACACACACACACACACACACACACACACACTCTCTCTCTCTCTCTCTCTCTCTCTCTCTCTCTATTTCTTTCTTTCTTCCCCCCTCCCCTCTCTCTCCTTATCCTACCTTGAGGTAGGGTCTTTATGATTAAGGCTCAAACATGTCACCTGTTCTTCTCACGTTTAAATAATTTAACCTCATGTCAGGCTGGCGGAGAAGAGAATTTCGACCGTTGTGGCACAGGCTAGACCACTCGCATAAGTGTAGAGAGAAAATGTTTTGATACTCTAGCTAGACTAGCACTGATTCCTTTATAATTAGCCCGTTGGCCTGGCTCACACTGAGTCATGTCTTACTGTCAGTTGCTCCTGAAGAAGCCTATGTGGCAAAAGGTCGAGCCGATTTAATAAACCAAATTTGACTTTTTTTTGGTACTTTTTGTCTGAAAATGAATCAAGACTTTCCCTACCTACGCTGTCTGCTTGCTAAACAGTGATGATCATATGATCATGATCATTAATGATGATGATGATGATGATGATGATGATGATGATGATGATGATGATGATGATGATGATGATGATGATGATGATGATGATAACACTTTCAACCCCCGCCCCTTACTGCGTGCAGACATATTGCATCCATTAAACACTTCCACGATCTTACATGGCATTCGGAAACAGCAAGAGAAACCCTATGTTAACTCAGCTTTCCATCTTGGACAGAAAGCTTATCACTATATTTCCTTTTCCGCAAAGTGCAGTTTCGAATCTTTTCGAAAATTAATTGTGCGCGTGCATTACGTGCGCGTGAACCTGCTGCCCTGAATATCTACCCACGTCAGAGGTGACAAACGTGCGGAATTGGAGGCTAGAAGTGTACCCATTTCCCACCGAGGCATCCACAGATTCTGCCTCTTTGACGTAATGTCCTGGATTATTTTTACAAGTGAAATGAGGGTGGACCCTTCGAACCCTATCGAGACTGATTCGTCTTTACACTTTACCGTCAACTGAAATTATCTCCATTCCCTCCTCCCCATCCTTTTCATCTTCATTTCTGTTTAAAGGGCTTTTCCCCTATCCCTGTCCTGCGTCCATTTTCATCAACGGCTTTTCTTCATCTTCCTCTCCGACTGTCTGTCTCTCACCCTATCCGTCCTCTTGTCTATGTGTCCGTATGCATCTCGGTCTCTTTCACCCCCTATCTATCATTCTACCTATCTATCTATCTATCTATCTATCTATCTATCTATCTATTCTCCCTTCTGTGTATATGTATGGCTTTCACAATCTCTACTTTTCCTATTATTCTCCTTATTTTCTGTGTGTGTGCACCCCTCCCTTCCTATCTATCTATCTATCTATCTATTCTCCCTTCC